AGCAACGCGTTCTTTGCGGCTTTGCGTGAGTCTTGAAGGCATCCAACTCTGCGCCTCTGCGTCTCTGCGCGAGACGTCCCCACGTTGCTCCGTGGATCAGAGCGAGGCTAGAAACGCTACGGCCAAGTGAAGCACGCTCTAGGTCGATCCAAGAGCACGCTTTGCCTCAACGCAGCCTTGACCTAGTAGAACTCTAACCGGTTGAATGCCCGCACGCCGCGGTAGAGCGGCACCACCGTGGCGGTTAGCCCGACCGCTACCGCTAGGCCAGCGCCCAGCACGAGCCACAGGTCGAGGTATTTTTCCCTCAAGAACTCCGAGCTGATCGCGCTGGAGTGGGCGATCAATTTGAAATGGCACGGCAGCGCCGTCAACGAGACGATCAGGATGATGTAGACCGCGCTGAGCACGAGGTTGAGCGTGCCGCCGAATCCCGCGGCGATCTTCGAGGGGCTCGACTCGTGGAAGTTGGGCATCATCGCTCCCAAACCCACGGCCAGCGCCGCCAACCCGACACAAAGCAGCACGGTCGTCAGTTGGTGAACGCCCACCACCAATGCCGAGACGTGCAACATCAAGTCGCTGAGCAGGATCAGCAGCGCGCAGGGGAGCCACGACCCAAGCGCGGCGAACACGAACTTGCTCCAGACGATGGTGTCGCGGCTCACCGGCATCAGGCCGAGGACCCAGAACCGACGACCCTCGAGGCTGAGCATCGGGTAGATAAACCGTGTCGTGAAGGTCGATAGGATGAGCCCGACGACCGCTAGGTTGAGGAAGCTGACGAGGTTCACCCAGGTGGCGTGCTCGATGTCGCCGGCGGTGACGCGGAACTGATCGACGTTGAGAAAATACAGCCCCAAAAGGCCGAAGAAGATCAAGAACTGCGACCACTGCACGGGGTCGCGTCGCAACAGGCGCCAGTCCTTCATTAGCAAGAGCCGCACCTGCTGTGGAAAGGGCTGGAGGAACCAAGCGGCGACGCGATCGACCCATGCCGCGCCGGCGCGGCGCGGACGACGCGGACGGCACTCGAGCTGACTGAACCCCGAACGGAAGGTTCGCCTCGCCACGGTCGTGAGGATCAATCGGCCCATCAACGCGTTGGTCACCAGTAACGCCAGCGATAGGAGGGACCGCACCACCGGCGTGTCTCGCAGCGGCGTGGGCAGCCGCGGCGACGCTTGAGCCGCGTCGATCAAACCGTCGCTGAGCCACGAGCTGGGGAGCCATTCTTCGCGTGTAAAACGAAACTTGCGGATCGTGTCGAGGAAGAACTGGTCCTCGAACAACTCCTTCCGGTCGACGGCGATCGTTTCCCAGATAGCGGCGCCCGCGGCCAACATCGACAGCGTCGCAACGACCAGCACGACCGCTACCCGCACATGAGCAAGCTTGTAGATCAGCAGCAGGCAGCACAACGCGCCGATCACGCAGGGAATGTAAACGAACGACGCGATCAGCGGTGCGATCAGAACGTAGTAGTGCCACGGCGCCCCCACCGAGATGCCGTAGGCGAGCGTCAGCGGGCTGGCGAGCAGGAAGAAGCCCCAACTGCTGAAGAGCGTCGCCTCTTGAAACTTGTGCAGCACGATCCGCTCTTCGCGAGCGGGTGTGGTGAGCAAGAATCGAGTCTCGTCGGAGCTGAAGAGGCCGCCGTAGAGGATGATGCCCGACGAGAAAACGAGCATCACGTTGAGCGACGCGAAGAACAGGTGGAACACAAACTCCACCGTCTTGGCGTGGTAGACCTCGCCGGGGCGGGCGATATTCTCACGCAGGAAGTCGAAGCCGACGTAAAACAGCGCAAACAGCCCGCACCAGAAGAAGATACTCAGCCCCACGACCAGCAGCGTCCGCAGGCGCGCCGTCGCCATCAGCTGTCGCAAGTGAGCGACCGTCTCCGTCGCGCGGATGCGGCGGAACAGGGCCGCTTCGACCCGTGGGTCGATCTCGTTTCCGGCTGGATTTGCGGA